AATCCAGACTATAGTACGTTTGTTGATATAATCAATATAATACATATCTCCATTTACCTCTATTTAATGTTTTAAATTTTTTATATGTTACTCTTTTAAAATACTTGGGGTACCAATGGAAGGCTACTTTTTCAAATAAGACATATTAAAAAAAATCACTTTTGAACAGTTACAAAAAAAAAAAAAACTCTTAATGACCCAGATAACCACAATGGTGTAATCACTTATCTAGAGCCAGACATCATAGAGTGTGAAGTCAACTGGGCCTTAGGAAGCATTACTAGGAACAAAGCTAGTAGAGGTGATGGAATTCCAGCTGAACTATTTCAAATAAAAGATTATGCTGGTAACGTGCTGCACTGAATATGCCAGCAAGTTTGGAAAACTCAGCAGTAGCCCCAGGATTGGAAAAGGTCAGTTTTCATTTCAATCACAAAGAAAGGCAGTGCCAAAGAACGTTCACACTACTGCTCAATTGCACTCCTTTCACATGCTAGCAAGGTAATGCTCAAAATCCTTCAAACCAGACTTTAACAGTATGTGAACCAAGAATTTCCAGATGCACAACCTGGATTTAAAGAGAGGAATCAGAGATCAAACTGACTACATCTGTTAGATCATGGAAAAAGTGAGAGAGTTTCAGAAAAGCATCTATTTCTGCTTTATTGACTAAGTCAAAGGCTTTGACTGTATGGATCACAACAAACTGTGGAAAATTCTTAAAGAGATGGGAATACCAGACCACCTTATCTGCTTCTTGAGAAATTAAAATGCAGGTCAAGAAGTAACAGGTAGAACTGGACATGAAACAATCAACTGGCTCCAAATTGGGAAAGCAGTACATCAAGGCTGTATATTGTCATGCTGCATTTTTAACTTACATGTAGAGTACATCAGGTGAAATGCTGGGCTGGGTGAATCATAAACTGGAATCAAGATTGCTGGGAGAAATATTAATAATCTCAGATATGCAGATGATACCACCCTTATGGCAGAAAGCAAAGAGGAAGTAAAGAGCCTCTTGAAAAGGGGAAAGAGGAGAGTGAAAAAGCTATTCAAAATAGTACAAACTGCACCTCAGATAAGTTTCTTGGTTCTTTCTATTCCCTTAAATCTCCTTCTGTTGAGTCATGCTACTTGTTTGCCTTTATGATTGACAGAAGTTAACTCAAATAGTAATATAATTAAATTAGGGTATTTTACAAGTCAACATCCTATTGATATTTTATAGAATATCTCACAAGTTAAGTTTCTGTTTTAGATGTTTCAATTCATAGACTACTTGTATTAAAACAACCAGATAGATATAAATATGTGTGTATATATACATGTGTTTGTGTTCTATATATGTATATATAAATATATACAACATAAGTAATATATATATACTCATATTTATAGTATATATATTTATTTATAGGATGAATTTCAATATGAATATTTTAAAGTTATCTTGAATGTAGCCATAAAAGTTTAAGGTGATTCCAAAAAAAAGTGATGATGTAGAAGTGTTATTCTTTCAAACATATAACATCATGCCTCTGGCTTTTATTTTGTTCAGATGAGAAAATGTATACATACCTGTACGTATTTTTTAGTACAGCTTTCATTGAACCAGAAAAAAAAATGTGTGTTGAATCGTTTATGAGTTACTAATGGCAGCTTTCTTTATTTTTTTTTTTTTGCTTTATTGAGTCTCAGTTCTGAAAACATAAGATTTACTAGTTGCTAATTTTTTAAGTCAGAGAATTTGGAAAAACTGCCAATTTAGTTGTGATGTATGTGTCAAAAATTAGCACTGGTATTTGTGGTGGTTATATATATGCATGCACACACATATATACATACATGTACATATACATACATATATGCACACACGTGTCTGTGCGTGTGTGTGTGTGTGTTCAGTCACTCATTTGTGTCCAACTAGTTGTAACTCCATGGACTGTAGCCCACCAGCCTCCTTTGTCCATGGGATTTTCCAATCAAGAAAATCTGGAGTGGGTTGCCATTTCTTCCTCATATATATATATATATATGTGTGTGTGTGTGTGTGTGTGTATGTGTGTGTATATGTCAGGAAGCATTTAGCAGGAGGCTTCCTGTGTGCTGTTTTGGATCTGTCAGGAATCCTCTGGTCCTTATTAATTCCTGAATATTCAGGAATTAAGAGGAGAGGCATGCCTTTCCCAGGGCTGAGGAATCCAAGCATTTCCTTCATTAGTTTTTCACTATGGTGATAAGCACCCTCTTCCTTCTTATGAACCATAGGGTAAAAAGTGATTGTTTACAACTCTCTCTCTTTAATAGGGATCACCTAATGTTTTGTAAGTTTGGAATTTTAATCTTTATCTTTCCTGAGAATAACTACCTTCTAAGACAGTATATATGCCCACATCATGTTGATTAAAATACCTTTGCTCCATCAGAGCTTGGGTCCCCATGTCTTTCTTTCTTCCCCCCTCCTCTCTCTCTCTCTCTATATATATATTTCTGGCTGATTCCCTGGAGTGCGAAAGCTGGCTGCATAACCCAGGGAATATTAGCCTCTTTCTTTCTTTCACTTTCTCATCGGTGACTCCGGACCACCAGGTTCCGGTCTAATAAAGGACCTATATATATATATATATATATATATATATATATATATATATATATATATATATATACACATACATGTATATACTTAGAGAAGTCAATATTAGCCTAATAATGATATCACTTTCACTTGGCAATGTTTTTGGAATAGGCTAGCCCAAGGCAGCACCTCATTATAGGGAAATATATGAGAAAGCCACTCATTCTGTCTTTTAAGATCATGAGAAATAGAAATTTTTTTGAAATCTATGTTATGTGAACTCAAGTCTTAGGTAAGCAAAGCTTTAAATAACATATCATGATGCTATTAATAATGAAACCAACATGCCACTGAGTTTGTCAGCAAATTTCTTCCCATATAATCCCTATAGACATATGAGACCTGGATTTGTTGTTGCAAAAAGCAGGTGTTAGAATTATAGTGTTACTCAGAGCATCAACAGAAGGTTAAGGAGACAGCACTGGGTGAAATTTATAAAAAATCTTATAAGCAACTAGCAGATGCTTCTTACAATTCCTTCTGCTCTTCTCTTCCATTTTCCACTGTGATTGCAACAGCTTAATTGTGGTCGAGACAGGCCATCAAGCAAGGGTACCATCAAAAGCAACATGAGATCCTTTTAAAAATGTCTCAACTGGGAAAGAAACGTTCCTCTTGAAAATCTACAGATTTTTACCCCCAGAGCTTCCAGATTTTGATTGTTTTACTCCTACAAGTACCATGGAGAACAAGAATATAAATAGCAAAATTTGCTGTGGACTTTGTATTCACCTATAGATCTATGCATTCTAAATCCCTGCTTCTTATTTAAGACCAATATTTCTGTTTTCAAAACATATATCAGGAACAGATATAATGTATACTTTCAAAAGATAATGTATTTAATAACTCTCTTTTTTTGAAGTAAAATTTCAACTCAATTTCCCATACATTATATAGAATTATATAGTTATTATTTTTATTGTTCTTGAGAGGTTTTCTTCTTTTTCCCCCCTCTTTTACTATCAATGGCTACAGCTACCTTTCTATTTTAAGTCTGTCTGACATCTATTTTTATCACATTTTATGCAGATATAAATATTAGAAAATTTTACTTGCCAACAACCATAAAATAAATCCTCAAATATATTTTATGACATTTATGTTAATTATAAAATATATTTAGCTGGTTACCTAAAAATATATTTTATAACTAACAATATTAATTTTATCACATAAAGTGAAAGTCGCTCAGTCATGTCCAACTCTTTGTGACCCCATGGACTGTATAGTCCATGGAATTCTCCAGGCCAGAATACTGGAGTGGGTAGCCTTTCACTTCTCCAGGGGATTTTCCAACCCAGGGATCAAACCTAGGTCTCCCACTTTGCAGGCGGATTCTTTACCAACTGAGTTATGAGGGAAGCCCCCTTTTTCACATAAACTGTGATAAAATAAACATCATTCAGACTGTATTCCTAAACGATTAGACTTGGAAACAAACTCTTCATGAGGGATAGTACGAATGGTGTGTAAGAGCATTTTTTTCAGGAGATGAATTGAATAGATTTAATTTCTATCATTTGAAATGGCAATTTATAAATGTCACTTAATCTATTCAGTTTCTTTAGATGCAAAATGAATAAAAAATGTACAATAGGACCTTTTTGAGAATTAAATGAATTATTAAGTGAAAAGTATTTATGACAGAATCATGGTCCATGTAACTATCCAAAAATATTGAGTATATATGTGTATGTGTGTGCATATATACACATACATTCGTTTGATAGCATACTATACATTTTTAATTGAGCCAAATAATTTGATAATGTGAAACATCAATAATATATTTATGTTAATTTACAATATAGAAAATCTGTGTATATTTCTCATATAAAGCATCTTGTTAAGGCTTCATATATATGTATATAAATCCAATATTTTGGCCTCACACTGCTTCAATATGTATTTTCCGCTATAATGTTCTAACGGAAAGATCCAATAAATTTTTATCAGTTCTTGCTCTCAATAAATTGTGGGACACAGACTCAAATAGAATTATGGTATATAAGTTATGTTTATTTCAGAAAAACAGAAACGGTTCTAGTTATTTCAAAGAGCATACATTTATTACAGGGACTTAATTACATATGACCAACAGAAGGGCTGTTAAAGTATTGGTGAAAGAGGCCTTTATCAGCCTTCAGAAAACCTGGAAGGACAGGACTCTGACCCCTGATAACCAATTGTTTGTAGACAGAGTGGATCATTCTCAGGATGAGAGGCAGACTCTCCCGGCAAACTGTGATGATGCTGACACGTGTTCAAAGCTTAGGCACATCAGCTTCACATCTGTAGCCCATTAGCTAAAGAACAAGTGTCTCTATATTTTTAAATCACTATTTTCAGGAACTTGAACATGATTTTCTCTAAATACCTGCCCTATAGCTCTAAGAATCTGTGTCCTTGCAAGATTTTGAAACTTATTGCCAAGACAGATCTGCAATTACAGAAGGAGGGTGAGTCACAAAATGCCGCCAGTGTGCCTGCATATTGGTGTAGTGTCATTTTTCAAGAATCTTCTCTTTAAACTCAGAGAGAGCAGCCACTGTTTTCCCCTAATAGCTGCCAGCACCTGCACCCAGCTCGCTGATGTCACTGTGTTTGTATTCTGACACGGGGTATTGGTTCATATTTTATCAGGCATGTCACTGTTGGAAGGCAAAAATAAAAAGAAAATGTGATTTCCGAGGCACCACCATGCCAAGGAGCCACAAATAATTGTCATCAAAAGAGATTTTTCTAATTATTAAAAAAAAAACATTCAAGTTTTGCTACTTCATTTGGATTTTTGTGATTTCTTTTTGCTAAATTTAAGATCGCCATTTAGTCAACAAAATTGTTCTATGACTATATCAGTGAAAAATATGCAAGATTATTTGCTCAAATACAGGGAAGACTGATAGAATTTTGAAATATTTTACTGAAAAAGCTACCCTAAATTGAAAACACTTGATTTTAGCTACTTCTAAGGGAAGACCAGACAGTAAAGGAAATGGAGGCCATAAAATGCTTAAGAAGCTAAGTAATTCACAAGTGATTAACGATAATGGTGATATAGATAAGACTTCTGGTGATAAATACACAACTGGTTTTAGAAAACACAACAAAGAGTAATTAGATTAAACTAAGTTATAAACAATTCACTTGTAAAAAAGATACAAAAAATAACAGATTTTGATATCATGTTTGTATTACTGAAAGCATAAATTGTTGCATAAATGGAGGAACTGTTATGATTTAAGTACTTTTAAAGCAGAAAACTCATTTAGTTATTTTATGAGATAAAGACACTCATTATAAATCATTCCTGCATTTGTATGAGGGTAAAATAAATTGCCTTGATAAAATCAAACTGATTTAAAGTATACTTCTTTAATGGTGCTGGATGAATTTAAAACAGTTCCTCCTGTATCTTGAATCAAGGCTAAACCAAATTTCTCTCTTATAGGAAACACACAACACACACACACATTCACACACAGACATATACTCACAAAATTTCAGTGTGAGCTCAAAATATGTATAGATTCTTTGTAAAAAGACTTTATATATGATATTTGTAAACTATTAGATATAATGGGTTTCTGTATTATAATAAGACAAATATAATTTTATAAAATATTTACTTACCATGAAATGATTTAAGGGCATCATTTTTAAACCACCTCAGTCTAAACATAATGATTCCTTCTTAAGACACATTAGTACCCCTAGATAGATTTTTATTTTTTCATAAATAATTTTTTTGCATTATCAGTTTTGGCTTGACTCATTTTTAATTTCACATTATAGCTGAATTTCTCACAAAAATGATTGAAAATAATAGGTATGTTAAAATTTTAATAAATATCTAAATGTAGTTCAAATTTTATACTCATATTTTGATAAAGATTAAAATAATAAATATGTTTCATAATTTAATATACCTTATAGGTTTTAAAATGGGTGCCATTTCTTATTTGAACTCAATACTTCTGTAAGATATACTGAGCAGTCATTTTTACAGTAGAGAAATAAAGCTCAGAGAAGTAACTAATTTACCAGAAGATGCAGAGCCAGCAAATGCCATAATCAGCAGACAAATCCTGTTCTGAAGGCTCTAGTCCACAACAAGTAGTCTTTCTCCTATTTCAGGACCCTTGAAAAGTTAAAATTAAAATGAGATCAAACAGTCTAAGTAAATATTCTGTATTTGCGATCTGATAAGCGATATTTTATTAATTTTAGCAAAGCACATTTTTTTTCTTTCAGCCACATGCTGCAAAGAATATATATCATCCCAAGAGTTGAGGTCAATTCATGATATTCACAACACACAATTTTCTAATCATTCTTCTGGAGTCTTCCTTCTGCACTAAGAGTAGGACTTGCATCATTGGTCAACATTTAGATAATCTTATTGCACAATATTTAATTAATGGACAGCAGATTTGTCAGAATTCAAACAAGCAGATTTCCCTGTGCTTGCATACTAAATTGTTTCAGTCCTGTTCAACTCCACGACCCTGTGGAGTGCAGCCTGCCAGGCTCCTTTGTCCATGGGATTCCCCAGACAAAAATGATGGAGTGGGTTGCTGTGTCCTCCTCCAGGGGGTCTGCCCAACCCAGGGACTGAATCCATCTCTCTTATGTTTCCTGTATTGGCAGGTGGGTTCTTCACCACTAGCACCACCTGCAAAGCCTTGTAATTTCAGTTAATCTAAGGACCTGTTTGCCTCCTTTTATGCCCTTTGCACTTCGGCTCCTCTGGTCTGTGTTTTGGGATCATGAACTTCAGAAGTTTTCTTTCCCACTCTCTCAAGGCAATTGGCTTTCCTCTGGGTTCTGCCTCCGGCAAGAACTGGCTGAAGATTGGCTAGCAAGGCTCCCAGAGCAGCCAGGCTTTTTCTTTCCCTCCTACTCTGTCTCAGGAGTCATTTTCTGGCAGAGGTAGTATCTCCTTCAAGTCCACTCCAGCCAGATAAACTCACCGGATTCCAGCCTCTGTCATGGGATGTTGGCCTCAGGGCTCCAGCATCACTGTCCTGTCTCTCCGGTCTCCATCTTCAAGCTTTCACAGTTCATGGGAGTGGAAACTTCCTGCTATGGTAATTTCTGAGTTGCAATACCTTCCCTGTGTGGCATCTCAGCATTTTCTTTGTGGCTTAACCAACAACTTGCATCATACTTCCTTCACTTTACACACTGATATTCTGTTGTTTTTTCTTTTTTTCTGCTTTGACTACTGAAATGGTTTCTAACATATCTGTCATTAACTAGATAAATATTAATAGAATCAATCTTGGTTAGCAGAGTGAAGTGCTGGTTTGTGTGCATGGCATTAAACAGGACACTGTTAAAGTAATAAGGGACACAGTTTATGATTCAATGAAATGATGGTATGTATAGAATCTCATTAACTGCTAAAACTACTCAATTCTTATTATTTCAATAGACATGATGGTGGTGGTTTAGTCGCTAAGTTGTGTCCAACTCTTGCAACCCCATGGACTGTAGCCTGCCAGGCTCCTCTGTCCATGGGGTTCTCCAGGCAAGAACACTGGAGTGGGTTGCCATTTCCTTCTCCAAGTTATCTCCCTAACCCAGGGATTGAACCTGGGTCTCCTGCATTGCAGGCAGATTCTTCGCCAACTGAGGTATTAGGGAACCCCAACTGACATAACTTCAAGTATAGTAATAGGGTAACTTGTGTTTTAAAGTGACACAATTTATAAAAATTTCCTTTGAGACCAATGTACATTTCTGTGTGGTCTTCAAAACTATATCTTCATATAATTTCTGTGCACTATTTAACTAGTAAAAGTGTTCAAAGACACAACTTTTGAGTTGTTTTATTTAGCTTTGTATTGGCAGAGTCTGCTAAGCTAAAAAATCAATATGTTTGTGTAGCATGGAAAATGTATGCAGGCTCTTAGGCTGAATATGTATCATAGACCTTGGTTCACCAGGGATGCATTGTATTCTAGGGTGACTATATTTGCATGGATTCATCACTTCATTTATAACCAATATAGAAATAAGAGCTCACTGCTTCTACACAATGAGTTAATGAACAGCATAAATAGTTCATATAACTTCTAGTTATACATTATCTACCCAATAACAATCCACACAATATATGAAAAAGTAGTATTGCTCTTTTTTAAATAAATGTTTCTGTGGAGGCCATTATTTTCTTGTTTCATGTATCACGTGAGGCTTTAATACCTTCATATCTCAAACTTGCTTATTTGAATATTCAGTAATAATACCATAGGTTGATTGCAGCTTGCACAAATCTGTTTAGATTTCTTTTATTCCTTTTTGTCAATACCATATCTTTATTTAGTTGCTGTTTATCTTAGTATTGTGTTCTAGTCTTATTTAGAATCATTATATCAATTTAAGACTTTTTATTTTTGACATTAGTTGTCTTACACTGGAAACATTACTTATCAAGTTATGCTCTAAACAAGTTTGTGTTTAGATTTTTTTAAAGTAATAATATAGTAATTCTACCAATAAAATTGGTCAGAAAACAGAGACCTTTAAAATTCTCCTTGATTTTCTTACTTCTCTCCCTAAAGTATCAATTACAAAGTAAGTACAGTCTCTCCTGAGAAATCTCATGCATTCATCTTTTCCTCACCATTTGCTTTGCCACTATCTACAGACGACTGGACTTCTCACTTTTCCTTCACTATAAAGTTGTAACTGTATGCTAATATCATGAGATTGTCATGTTTATGACAATGAAAACAAGTTAATGCCATGCTTATCTCCTAATTGCTTACACTGGTTTTCATCTATCACCCTTTCTTTTGGAGTGATTTTCCTGAAATATCATATGAATCCACCAAAACTTTCCCCCAGCATTCACTCATAGACATTTTCACTGATTTCCTGTTTCTTGGAGGATAAGGTTTAATCTCATCAACTTGGTCATCAAATTCTTCTGTGCACTGGCTTTGGGCTTCCCACCTTCCCCTGTGCTCGCTCAGTCGTGTCTGACTCTTTGCTACTCAATGGACTATAGCCCACCAGGCTCCTCTGTCCATGGAATTTCCCAGGCAAGAATACTGGAGAGTGTGAACATTTCCTTCTTCAGGAGATCTTCTTGACCTAGGGATCGAACCAGTGTCTCCTGCGGGTGGATTCTTTATCACTGTGCTATCTGGGAATTCCCCCTTTTGTCTACATTTTAATTTTAATGACAACTTTTGTAACTTTCCTACCAAACAGTTACTTCCACTCAATTGTTTCCATTCATGACAGGTGAATCTTCATATCAACTGTTTGCTCACATGGTATCTTCTGGAAAGAGGAAAAAAGAAAAGAAGAGGAAATCTGGAAGAGGAAGGAGAAAAGTCAAAGAGAGAAAAGCTGTCAACATTTAACAGCGCTTTCTATTAGTTAAGCACTTGGCTTTAGATTAAGATACAGATTAATTGGGCATTTTAATAGAGAAAAAAATCTA